TTGACTGGACATTTTTTTAAATATTTCAAGTACCACTTCCGGTATACTGGTGCTTATATTTCGGCGCCTGCTTTTTTATGAATTTATAATCAATCCTCATATGTTTACATATTTATGTTTAAATTAACAACGGGTAGTAATAATAACGTTGTGAATAATTTTAATTTTTCTTGTAAACCAAATTAACAATCGTCACTATACATTGTAGTAATAGCATATCATTACAACATTAGAACTTCGCGGACGGACAAACACAACGGGGATATAAGGTATTCTAAACCTATGCTGTTTGAAAGCCTGAAAACGAATAAACATCGTGCAAATAACCCGGAACAGACGAAACATTTTATTCGAAAACTTAAATTATATCGCGTAAACAAAAAAAAAAAAAAAACATCATATTAAAATAGCCGAAATACAAATTATTTTAGGTTATAATTATTGCTAATGTGTCGTTTAAGGAACTCGTTGATCGTGGTTTGGATTATTTTTTTCCTCGGCAAATCCGGTGACGGGTCTTGTGGAACCACGTTTCCATTTTCTTCGATCGTTACCGGGACGGCGCGTTGCAAAGTCGGCAATTCATAAAAACGGATTTTCACCAAATCCCTTTTCTGTTCGTGATATGCATCTGGAAATAATAACAAAACGTTCATATTTGTATATCGTATAGTCATGTTTTTGTTTATGACGCGAAACGACAATATTAAACTCTAAGCGAAGCGAGAAACGTATTTGTTTTACAACGAGTTCAATATGATGTGGTTTTTGTTGTTTTTTTCTGTTTGTGTGTTTATAACTCATTTTTTTTTTTTTTTGTCATCAGAAATCAATCAAAATAATATGAACCATCTCGCAATTTCTGTTGAGTTCTGGGTTACCTTGGTGACTGTATAGGGAAAGAAAAAGACTAATAATATGCTCTACTCAGAATCGTATTATCAACGGTTTATCGTTGCGTACAGATAGAAATGAAATTACTCTCTCTCTAAATTTACCTATCCTCCCTCAGCAGTGGCTTTTTTAAAAACTTATAATTGACAAGATTTTAATTATTGTATTAGAGGTGTGATTTGTATAGGTACACTGATAGAAAAACCACGTTAACAATAACAGTAAACTAGGTAGACTTGATAAATATATTGTTGCTGTTCAGCCGAAAAGACAATCTCATCAAATTGACAATATTTATTGTTACAGCGCTGATTGGTTATATATTATCATATTATCTCTGCTACAACAAATATTGTCAATAAGTACCTGTGCACCCCGGGAAAATGATTAAAATTTAAAATCACGTTCTGATAAACTTGACCACCTTGACTATAATTGTATATGTATTCACCCGGCCGTAAAAAAAAAAAAATAATAAAAAACCGCATTTTTAGAATAAAAATATTAATAATAATTACCGTAAACCTCGGGAGAATCCATTTCACTGCACAATTATAAAAAAAAAAAAAAATAATAATAAATTATAATATTGATGTAATGCGAACCGGGGGCACGCGTAAATTATAATTTTTCGTTGAGAAATATTTTTTATCTTCGACGAAATTAATAAATTATTTGTGCTCGCGATATCCACACGGATTATGTTATTCGAACGACACGGATGATGTTTTCCAAAGAATATTCCAATGCGACGATGACATTTTACAATCAATCGTCATATTTATTGTCTTTCGTATTATTATTTATATCACCTATCTACTGGATTCAGATTAATGACTCCGCGGCGTCATAAACGTTACTATATATATATATATAAAAAAAGAAGTACCTATTAAAAAAAAAAAAAATTTAAAAAATTCCTTCTCGTCCTTGTATACTGTACGAAGGTATACCCTCTTGTCGACGCGTTTGCCTTGCCGTTGACGCGACGGCGCGACTTATGTACTAGATAAATTAAGTTTTAAAAAAATATAATAATTGGGTAGTATACTAGAAAAAAAAAAGAAAAAAAAAAAGAAACGCTACGGGACGTCTGATAAAATACTGTACGCACGGTCGAGTTACGTCCTCTTGACCGAATCCGAAGTTCGCACAAACACCACCGTCGTTACAAATAACTACATGATATATGAGTAACAAACAATACTCGTTTTAGATACTGAGTGGAGCAAAGAAGCTTATATGGTTTGACAAAGGTGTTTATTTCGTTTTTCTACCAGAGATCATGCTCCGATTACTAAGTGTAGCACGTTTTCTGAAAGAAAATCGGCGTGGGGAGGTACTTTAAACAAGTCACTTTTCGATTTTCTCAGGTGTTTTCTCAACAAATGTGATAAACCGAAAAGAAACGGAGGAAAAACGTACGAAATGCAGGTATTAGTTAAAAAATATTACGGACTTCTTTATTCCCGTGAACAACTTTTCTACCGGCGATTTTGCACCGATTTACAATGATAGCACTTTTTCTAAAAAGAAATTCCGATTGGGGAGGTACTTTAAAGAGGTCATTTTTCAATTTTTCCAGCAAACGTGAAAACCCGGCAATTCAGGAAAAACGGGAAAATCGGTATGATATTAAACAAATATTATTAACGAAAATTTATATCGCCTGTTTGATTGTTTCACCGTAATACACATGCTGTCGACGAACCATCACCGCATCGACTGAACTCGGCTCAGAATCGTTTTTTCCGTTGGCAATGGTTTGCCGTTGCTTTCCCACCTTCCAAACTTCTCAGCCGCAACGGCGGCCCACTGCCCGTGCCCATTATCCCGGGACGGCTTGTTTTTTTTTTCTCTCGGCCACCTAACCCGCGCCTATTACATTGACGGTAAGGTCCTGGCGCGCGCAATTTTCTTCCTTCCCGTTTCACGCCCACACGCCTACACACGTAGTCAATCCGTTGTTGTTGTTGTTGTGCCGTTATTATCGTTATCGTTATCGCCGTTGTACCGTACCGCGGTGCGAAACACGGGTGCAGTCGTCTAATCCGCCCCGGCGCCTTGGCGTACGCGCACGGAAATATGCCGGCCGACCGCGTGTTTTCGCGCGCAAACGCGTCCCGTGCGGACCTCCCGTGCGGCGCGTTCGCCGTGCAAGGGACCGCGTCGACCCACGCGACCGTCGCGACGCCCGGCCGCGCGGTGAATTGCGGCGCGACTCTCGTGTCGCGCGCGATTCGAAAGGCACGCGTGTCGCAACGAATTAAGATTATATTATTATTATTTTTTTTTTTTTTTTGCTTTTCCGACGATATAATAGTACGTGTACAATAATAACAATAATAATTTTTATTGTAATTATGTCGTTCGGGCGCAGTCCGCGAACGGCTGCGTAATAATGTTGTTACGACGGACGAAAGTGTAGGTATACGCGTCGGAGGCAGCGTGGGCGAAAAAAGAAAGAAAAAAAAAAAGAAGAAAAATGCACGTTACGGTGTTATTTATTATTATTATTATTTTTTTTTAATAATAGTTATGCGTGTATATATGTACGGAATAGGGCGGTCACGTCCTACCGTCGCCGTATGTGCGTAGGTCAGCTGCGCAGAGCGGATGGCGGAAAAAAAAAAAACTCGAGGAGTGGCGATTTTAAAGGATAGGCGCATTACTATATGCTGTATGTATGTAGTGTTTTTTTTTTTTTTTTTTTATTAACCGTATAGTAAAATTAAACGTGTCGCGCAAAATCGCCGTGATATTTCTTATTATTTTTTTTAATTGCTCATTCACTCCCCCGCGACTCGAACGTTGCCCAACCTGCCCCACCTCTTTTTCCAACATCAATTATACGAAACGGAAAGGCATACACCTACGACAAACGACGCCTTTATGCTATGGCGCCTCCGGGTCTGTATTTGGAAAATAAAAACAAAAAAAACGACACGTACAGTAACGTTTATACGCGCGAGAAAACCTCATCGCTGAAATCGACTTTACGCGTTCTTTCGACGGTCGAACGGACACGGATCTGTAGACGCGAAAACGCACGCGCGTTATACGGGCGCGTACGCGGGGCGAGGACCGCGTGGGAGACCGGGTCAAATGGGAATTGTTCGGGACGAGGGCGGCCGATTCGGAAATATCTCGGACGAGGTGGACGGTGATGACGGGGACAAAGATGTGATCGCGTTTTGATAAAATATCCGGCGTTCCAAATGTGCGCAACACCGTCGTAGATATTGTCTATGCACACCCGGCGGAATCTCTCCGATCGCGTATTCCACGTCGCAGGGATCCGGCCGTACGGTTCACCCGCGGGGCGGTGCCGACGACTGCGAAAAACGAAACGAAAACGACCGGCTGCCGGACGTACCGAAACCGGTCCGGCCGCGCGGTTTTCACGAAATTTTACATAATCCACACCCCGTATCGTGGATTAATTTTTTTAACGCCGGGTACGCGGCCAATGCCCGACGATATGTTCTCGTCGGCCGATTTCCCGCGGCGTCCGATACGCGACCGTTAAACGCGCGCGCGCGGGCGGTCGGGCGGGCGGCCAAAGGGGTTTCGCCAGTCGCGCAACGCAGCCGAGGTCTAGACGACGCGGACGAAACCGACTGGCGCTGCGGCGACGGCAACGAGCGACGGGGCGACCGCGCGTTGTTTGCGCGTCCGGAAGGCGCCGCCGCCGCCGCCACCGCCGCCGTACGCGTCCGAGACGGAATATTTATTAGCGCGGCGAGCGCGAGCCCGGGGATGCCGCGCGTAAATTATGTACACGACAGTTTCCTCGCGGATTTTAATCAAATTTCCCGGTAAATATTTTTATTATTATTTTTTTTTTCTTTTTTCAAGGCGGCGCCCGAGGCGGCGCCTTTCGCGATGGTTTTCACGCGGCGCGGACGCGACACGCGCCGCCGTACCGGTGCGCGGCCCGGGACGCATTTCCGAACCGCGTCGCACACGCCGTTTTTCGCGGATGCCGGCGCGCGCGTCGGACCGGGACCGTTACGATATTACGCGACGACGGCCCGGTGTAGCCGTTTTATCGTATTATTTATTATTGTTTTTTTTTTTTTTCTTCTCCTTATCTATATCCGCCGAGGCGGCCGATGAATTACCGCACCTATTTCGTGCGGAATATCGCGGCTAATTTTCCCGGGGCTCGCGTGCCGCATAATCGCGCCGCCACCGCCGGTTGTTTGAACTAGCGAAAAATATTTTAATATCAGCAGCGTAACGACGACGACGGCGTGTTTGAACAGACGGCGGTCTGAAAAGATAAGATTTTTTTTTTTTTTTTCTATTCGCGTGTTTTTTTTTTCCTCTCGACATTCCGTTTGTAAACGCGCCATTTTTCTCACGCGTACGTTTGTTCGCACGTCGCGCGTTATTTTCCTACCCGCGAACCGTATGGTATAGCTGAGTGCTATTTGTTTTTTTGTTTTTAGCATAACGAGCGGGTTTACGACTGCACTATATGTGCCCGACCTACAATAATATCGTTTTAACAGACACGACGATAATTTTAACGGGCGGGTCGGAATGCTAATTATCGCGGTACGGTTTTAATCGTATGCGGCGCCGACACACGAAATCCGGCGGTTCGAGCGGATTTATAACGTTTGAGAAAAAAAAAAAACCCTAACTTGTTTGAACATCTCAACGTGCCGCCGACTCGCCGTTATATTTTGTTATCACTTATTATCGCGACGCGTTGGCGCTGCGGCCCGACAGCTCGTACTTATACTTTGCCATAAAATGGCAAACACTCAGAAACCGAGCATCGACAACGTCGACTTTATCAAACTCGACATTGCGATCGATTTTGCACGCGAACGAAAACAATTACACGAGTTCGTTTCGAAACGATATTTCTCTAAATCGCGTTTTTGCACACCGAATCTGTCAACACGAACCTTGTGCCGTAATTCCGTCAGTGAACGCGCGTGAGCATACGCAGTCCGCGCCCGACTTTTATTCTCCCGTGGTAGGCATACATCTTGTCATTATCACCAGACAAACGTATTTATTGTAACCAACAGAAAACGGGCGGTATAATTTTCCTAGTGGGTGACACATCCGGTGCGACCCGAACGGCTCTCGTCAATTGTTTCGTTTTTTCTCGAACGGCTCCGGTATTCGGTGCCGCGCGCGCACTTCTCGCAACAAAACGCGAGTGCAGACGCGACGCACAAAACACCCGTGTCGTGTCTTACTTTTTACGATAACAAGTTTTATCGAACCCGTTCAAATTATTGAAATTTGGATTTTACGGTTCGAACGTCATTACACGCCTGTGTCGGACTGGTGTCGAACGAATTTCGTCCAGTCTATCGGATTTTATCAATTTCGCATAAATTAACCAAATGCATACAGCACATTTGGTTTGTCTGCGAATTCGCGTCGCGAAATAACCGGACCCGTTTGGGAGTTTTCCGTTTTGTGAAACGGCACACGAACGGGCCGCGTCCGACGTATAACACCCCCTTGCGCCTCCTAATAACGGGCGCCCTCGTATCTAAATTGTATACGTACCGCAATAGGAATTGTCCGCGAACACCGAAATTCGCGTTTGGACTTGAAAGGTATAGCGCGTGCGTTTCCGTTGGAACGACAAATCGCGGACTGTCTATGCGGTATTGCGCTCGAGCTCTTCGATCCGCCCGGAAGAAACTAAAATCGCAAAGTATTATTGCAACACGTTCGAAGCGTGTGTATTGTTTTATAATTTTTTTTTTTTTTTTTTTCAAGAAATATACTCGAAACATACCTTCGAAAACGGAACCGATTGTTTTGTGACTGTATCGCAATTGTTATTGTTGTTATTATTATTATAACAGACCCCGTCGCGTTTTTAATCGTACGTTACAATATTATAATACTATTACGGGCATTATACACGCGAACGAACGGCTATTTGTTCGCACCGGTGTTCGTTGTAACGGTCCGATTGTTACAGACCCGGAATACCATAATAATATGAGTACGTGGGTTTTTTTTTTCTTAATACATCGAGTAGGTATTATATATTATGAAAAGAAGTATAATTCCGCTTTGTTTCGTTTGTTTTTTTTTTGTTTTTTTTTTTACTCAACGATTCCCCCTCATAAAATTCTTAAAAAAAAAAAACAAAAAATATAACACAATAATAACGCACATTATTTTTCGTATATACTGTTAATAATTCTATTTTGTTTCGGTCGAAGACTTTTAGCGAAGAAAATGCGATAGGTTCGCGTCAATTTAATTGTCTGTTATGTTAATGCCTAATGCCCATGGTAATTCGCAATAAACCCGCATAGTGATTTTAAACGAGAAGATATGAATCTTCCCAAAATATCGGGCCCAAACTTGAATATTATTACCATTACCGCGTCGTAACGTTGACTTGTATATTATAACTTGTGCCGTTCGACCCTTACGCGTACAGATCGTCGTTATGGCATTGCTATAATCGAGCACGGTTCGACCTACAGATCATATTTTGTTCGATTAACATTGCCGCTTGCCAGACGTGTTCTCTAAACATTCATAACGAAAATAACACGGGAAAAACACTAATAATTCGAATACTAATAACGACGGGGCGGGGAGGGTAGCAGTTTCGATTTTATTGCGGAAACTTCGTCCGCGCGCCCCTACACCCTCCGTATATATATTTTAGAATTTGAGTGTAGCGAAGTGAAGCTGTTGCAGGTTTTTTTATACACACTCGGTTTTAATACGCTTTCTCGATTAGTAAAAATCGAATTTTCCGCACTCAAAATAGGGAACGTTTACCACTGTTGTTTGTCAAACGTTTTTCCGAGAGAGTTAATTAATCGAATGTCGTTCGCTCGGCACGTTAAACGCGACGTGGAATTTTCGCCCGGCGGTACTTGTACGCGAAACACTTTTTTTAAACATCCGACGGTTCGCTTCCCGAGTCCGTTTTTTTCTCTCTCTCTCAAACGCTCCCTCGGACGGCGAGAGTTATGTAACAGTGAAATCGTTCGTATCCGCGTTCTTCACCCCGCGCAACTCACGTATACGCCACCGGAGCGGACCGCGGGAGAAACGCGTCGTAAAATCCGGCGCGATCCGACGGAGACCGGGACGCGAGGACAAGGTATAATGACGACAACACCAATAATGTACGGTTTGTCGGGGGTGCTTATAAATATTGTGCGACCGTAATAATATGATAACACCGAATAACCGCGATATTCAATTAGTGAACGCCGGCGCGGTATACGCGGTCAGCTTATCGCACACGCGCGCGTGAGTTTATATAGATCGTATTAAAAAAAAAGACGTAACCGTCCAGTAAATCCTTTTTTTTTTTTATCGGATTCCGGTCGAAGAGACGCGGGCATACGCAGACACTGCACACGCCGCGATGTTTACGTACACGTATATCACTGTCACTAGACGTTACCTGCCTACCTACCTATCTACCTGTAAAACACGATATTCGTTTGAAAATTAATAAAATATCGCCGCCCCGCGCCCGTTATTATATTATTACCGTCGTGTAATTATTACGTTCGGAGATGCGATCGCGCCGACGTCGCTGTCGCGTACCGCCGCCGTATAATGGAAACGGTTTTTTTTTTCCTTTCGGACTCGCGCGCACAGGTATATCAGAAAAAAATAAAAAAACACCGATACCGCGCCGCCCCCGACTCTTTCAAATTATTACTATTGTATTATATCGTTTGATCGCGTTGCGCGCACATTGTATACGTATATATATATATATATTTTTTTTTTTTTCGTAAACCACCGCGGTGCCCAACATATGACGGCCGGCGAAATGATATATGATACGGAGAGCTGCGCGTATCTGCAGGGCGACCGTTGAATTGGCGCACCCACGAAACCGAACATCGAATCGGCCCCCGCCCAATACGGTTGTAACCAAATGGTCCCGAAAACGCAAAGTGATTCTGTATAAATATCGAAATGGAAAAAGTACGAGGCTTTAATGCTTTCAGCGCGACGCAGTGCCAAATAACTGCCCGGGAATCGTGTGATCTTTAATTCGATAATGCGTTAAACGGTCGTAACCGCCGCGATTGAACAATTCAACTGCTAATCAACTAATCAATTGCGTTGATTCTCGTCGTTCATCGCAATTAATCGCGGTTCGTCGCACAATTTGTCGCGGTTCGTCCCTATATAGTCTACAACAGTTGTGTACGAAATGAATTCGGTCGATAAAACGAGTTCGTTTCAATAGTAAATCATTTTAAATTTATCTATCATCTGAACCTCTCCGAAATACATTAATAAGATGTACCAAATGTACGAAATTCCGACAATTTTGACGAGCTATAAACGCAATATTTGAAATTATTTTAACATACAGTGAAATGATCGTTTCGAACCGCGCACACAACCGGGCGGATTTACGAAACAGACGCCGAGGGAAGCCGAATCGACGCATTCGGATTCACGGGGCCAATTTTCTGTGTAAAAACGTCGGGTACCTGAATTTGGGAGCCAATGCAATGGCTCCGGTCCGCAGCGTACAGCAGTACGGACTGTTAATAAATTTCCGCTGATCCGATCTCTCTCGGACGACGGCCGGCGCGGCGACGCGTCCCGGTGCTTGTTTTTTTTTTTGTATGCCTTTATAGCGTCTTGTCTCTCGCGCGTATCGCCGCGGTAAAATCGGCACTCGACGGGGGCGGGGCGAAGAACGGAGGAAAAGAAAAAAAAAAAAAAAGGAATAAAAAACCGACCCCGTACACGGTCGGCGTTTATTTATTATATCGGCCCGCGTGCGATCGTTAATTATTCCGTTATAAATCCGTACAGACCGCGCGGATATTTCCGCGGTACGTCTCGCCGCGGCGTTGTGGGAACGGACGTTATTATTGTTGTGAATATTGTTATCATCAATGCCTCCGTACGTTTTGTACACGATTATCGGAACGAACGTATACAATATGCGTTTTCAATACCACGCCGGAGCCAGTCCACAATTCACCGATTAGAAAAAAAAATAAAAAAAAAAATAATAAAATCGAAACAGAGGAATCGCCGCGTGATAGGAACAAACGACGAGAAAAAATGCGCTTATGCACAGGGCGCGCGATTATTAAATACGGGCATCCGTTTTTCCGCACATTAATTACCGTCGCGCGCGTTTTAAACGGGCGCTTCTTGTTGCACGATAACCGACGGCGCCTAAAACCTGCAAATTCGAATTACTAAACCGTCGCGTTTTTTTTTTTTTTTCTTTCGACAAAACCGCACAGCGGCCAAAACTACGCGTTCCGATTTGCGTACGGACGATTTAAATGCGGACAATCCGTTATAAACCAATGCGCCCACCCGCACCGGGCGATTCGTTTTGGCGGGCACGCCCGTCACCCCGGAGAGTATGAACTTTTTCCGGGATTCGTTTTCTAGAACATTCCGGGGGCCGGCTGCTCAGCGATTCGCGAAAATTCCGTAATCGGGTGCGCAATCCGCGTCTCGTATTACCGGCTCACCGGCGAGCCGCCGTTTTTACGGGATTCCGTTGCTGTTGTACATTGTCGCGCGCGCGCCGGTCCGATGATCGACTCCTGCGTCGTGTGCCGCGTCCGAGCCGACGCCGCGCGTGCGAAAACCGCACGCGTATTTGCCATTGTTCTGCTACCACTGCAATAATATTGATGAATAACCGTCGCGTTCGCCGGTAAACCGTGCACCGTGCCTCCCCGCAGCAGTAGGCGCGTATTGCACACCCGTATTTATTGCGCGCACGAAATCTTCGATATTATACGGCCGACACCGGTTCGCCTTGAGTACGCCGATCTACACACACGCGCGCGCGCGCCGTATACGACTTTTTTAACATAATATAATATTTTCATTATATACACGCGCGTGCGTACTCGCCGAGAACGGTAAATCGTTCGCCGCAATGCTGAATTTACGTACCCGCGTACCCGTATCGGTACGCGCATAGACAGATTTATTCGTAGTATTTACAGGCGCGTGGATATTATTATGGACACGAACAAAACCGTAATGATAATATATTATCGTTAAAAAAAAAACCGCACGTTTATTTCGATAAATTAATATTTCGTATAATTTACGTATACACGCACATGCGTACGTACACACACTCGGGCAAATAAATTATTATATTATGCAAACCTATCAATATCGGTTTGGTTTTTTTTTTTTTCGTTCGTTTCTACACGCGTCACGAGTAGGAGGTACTAATTATACATTTAAACGCGGCGCATGTTTGCGTAACTCTGCAGCTTTAACGTTTATAATAACGAACCGAAAAACTCAAGTCTCCAGGTATTTAGCGTGCGAGTATATTACGCGAACGAACCGGCCGTGTTAATTTTGGCACAAACGCACAAACCGTTTTTGAAGATGACGAACTGCGCAAACGATTTTGGCGTGATGTTGTATTTTTAAATTTGGGTGAAGGTTTTTTACGATTATGATCTCTGCATGCGCGCAGCGGCTATTTACTGTTGCGCGTTAGATTTCAAGTCTATTCGGACTGTTAATCACGAATCCGATGTAAATATATTATTATAATTATTATTAAGTATGCGTATAAAGAAAAAAACAACCGCGTTTAAACTCTAAACGCGTGGGCCGATTTGATGTTTTTTTTTATTATTATTATTAAGACAAAAATAGCACTTGAGAAAGTATAGTCTGCAGGTCAATGCCAATAATACGTCAAGACATGGAGATTTTGTACAGTACAGTACGCTTCTTGTCTACGCAGATGATATTTTTATAATAGGCGATGAGCGTCGAAAACGAATAATATTTAATTAAACAGCACCGGAGCCAATGGGTCTAATGGAAGCATAAACGAGTAGAAAACAAAAATATTTATCCGCGCGTAGAGGAACAAGCAATACGTGACTGACGAGACTCGGACGCAAAAGTAGAAAATTATGCCTATTAACAAGGGAAAGATTTCGAATATCTCGGGGCGTACGTCAATACGTAACTGCGTGGAATTGAAATTAAACCGAGGATATCTGCCGGTAACA